AGTTTAGCTACGAATTCAGCTCAATGAAATCTTCGCCGAAGCATTTCCCTTGACGTGAGATAGTTTGTAATGTGAAAGTTTAAATTCCGCGTTTTTTACGAATATTTCAAATGCCTCATATTTGTTGCCAAAGCTCCCAATCCAAATTTTATGTTATAGGTTTTGAAGATTGGGGTCTAAAAGTGGAATTTCTATAGCGACCGGTCAATGGAAGTAATAAATGTTATTGATCTCAGATCTTAGATTATTAAAAAATGGCAAAAATTGCGCAACGTTTTTTTTTTTTCAACAGCTTTCACTTCATTTGCGACAAAATGCAAAAAAAATGTATACAAAAGCTGTATTCTTCAGCTTTAAAATGCATGTAGATTTTTGTCGATAGTATACTTCGATCAAAATATATCGAATTTTGTCAGACTATAATTCTCTGGAATTGACCAAGCCATCTAGCTCTTTTTGCTATTTTTGCCGTAATTGCTGGTTTTCCATATATCCTCATTATTTCTTTATTCGTTTGTCTTCGTTCCACATCATTCTGCTAACCTTTATTAATCTTTTGTCTATCTCTTTTTCTTCTTTTCCTGTCTTCTTTATTTCCAATTTTTCAAATTCTAACAACTATAGACAGACGCTGCAGATTAATACTAACGGACCAAGTGAGAAATAAACAAATTAAAGAACAGTGGAACGGACAAATAAAACAGCAATGGAAAAAAGACATCTGTGAAGAAGATATACACGACAAGAAGAAATGGCGATTAGGATGTGGTAAACAGAATATGCTGTGTAAGGCCACGGGCAAAAGTAAGTAATTAATATAATTATAAATGAGAAAATAAAAACTAAATTCAAACTGGAACCTATAATAAATACTATGGACAATAACTAGCTAGGTTGGTATGGGCAGATTTGCAGAACTAAAGATAGTAGACCGGTCAAAAAGATATACGAAGCAAGAAGAACAAGCAGCGGAAAGAAAAAAAGACCAAGAGAACCATGTTCTCAACAAACACTGGAAATAGACTGGGATAAAGGAAAAATAGATAAGTAGTATTCTATGTAACAATAAAACACTGAAAACTTTGTTTTCAAACTTCCACAAAATTTATTTTAACTATTATCACTACAGCTGTTTCGGCTGATAGCCTTTCTCAAGTGATCTATTTTTGGCATGCGTTTACAATTTATAGTCTCTAATGAAATAAGTTGAGGAGGGGAGAACTGTTTGTCTCAAGTTGGTCATTCAGAATTATATCTGTGTTTTTTAATTTATTGATTTCCATAGATTCTAACAAAGATAGCTTAAGGCCTTTATTTTGAACGTGAAGAATTTTAAATTTGTCATTAAAAGAATGATTATGATCTAGAAGGTGAAGTGCGTATGTCGAATCTGTTTTTCTATTCTTGAAAGCCCTTTTATGTTCTGCTATTCGTTTCTCAAAGTTTCTACCAGTTTGACCGATGTAAGTTTTTGGGCAGTCGCCACATTGAATTTTATACACACCACTATTTAAGTGTTTTTTATTTTGGCTCTTGTTATTTTTAATATATTTACCTAGGTTGTTATTTGTTCGGAAAGCTGGTGTTATTCCTTTCTTTTTTATATGTTTGGCCATTTTTGTTGTTATTTTGCCTGTAGATGTAATCGAGCAGAAGGTACTGGGTTTTTTCTCTGGCGGTGGAAATACTATTTTCAGGGCTTTCTTGTGTAGTTTTTGATTTAACATTTTAATAATTGTTTGTTCGTTGTATCCGTTGTTTACTGCTACTGCTACTGCTAAACAGCTGTAGTGATAATAGCTGTAGTGATAATAGTTAAAATAAATTTTGTGGAAGTTTGAAAACAAAGTTTTCAGTGTTTTATTGTTACATAAAATGAATTTCCATCAAGTAACGGTCGAATCCATCAATTAAGTAGTATTCTTCTTCCTATGCCGTCCCTATTAACGGAGGTTGGCGACCACATTTCTAAAAGTTTCTCTGTCTTTTGCAACGTGAAATAATTCATCTACAGTCATGTTTGTCCAGTCTCGAATATTTCGCAGCCATGACTTCCTCTTTCTACCTATTCCCTTTTTGCCATCGACTCTACCCTGCATCATGACCTGCACAAGATTATATTTATCATTCCTCAGTATGTAAGGTATGCAGTCTTGCGTACTTTTATTGTTCTCAACAATTTTTTGTCTCGGCCCATCCTTCTCAGCATTTTCTCATTGGTGACCCTGGCAGTCCATGGAAGTCTCAACATTCTCCGGTATATCCAAAGTTCAAAGTCTTCAAGCTTCTTAACTATTTGCGCTTTTAACGTCCATGTTTCTACCCCGTACAGTAGTTGGGACCAGACGTAACATTCAACAAACCTCAGTCTCAGCGCAGTATTCAGATTTTTGTCACAGAACAATTGCTTGAATTTTAAGAACGCTGCCCTTGCCATTTCTATTCGTACTCTGATCTCTTGGTCTGGATCTAATTCTGCGTTGATGTAAGCTCCCAGATATTTATATTTTGTTACTCTCTCTATTTGCTGTCCACCAAGGGTTAGTTGTTCATTATTTATTGGACTCCTTGATACTATCATAAAGTTGGTCTTATCTGTGTTAATGTCAAGTCCCATTTGAATGCATTCACTAATTATTGCATCTATTAAAGTTTGTAGTTCTTCTATACTCTCAGCCATAATTACCGTGTCATCTGCAAATCTCATGGTGTTTACGATTTCTCCACCAATTCTTATTCCCTCTTTTCTTTCCCATAAAGCTTTTCTGAATATAACCTGTGAGTACACGTTGAAAAGCGTCAGAGACAAGACGCATCCTTGCCTGGCCCCTCTCGCAATCGGTATATTATTTGTTTATATATCGTTCACCTTTACTACTGCTTTCTGGTTTCAGTATATTGCATTAATAAACTCAATGTATTTTTTGTTTAAATTGATGTTTTTTAGTTTATCTTTTAACTTCATATGTTGTCCCCGGTCAAATGCCTTCCTAAAGTCTATGAAGCATACATATGCACTCTTGTTATATTCCCGACATTTCTGCAAGAGTACCGTCAACCCAAATAATGCCTCTCTTGTACCCATGCCTCCTCTGAAGCCAAACTGCGTTTGATCTATCTGCTCCTCACATTTCTTATAAATTCGGTTTTGAACAATTTTCAAGAGAATCTTTAAAGGGTGGCACATCAGGCTTATCAATCTATAGTCATTACATGATTTGGGATTGTTGTTTTTTGGTAGAGGTAAAAATATCGATTTAAGCCATTCCTCCGGGATGTTGTCCTCTACATATATGTGGTTAAGAATTCGGGTGAGTTTCTTTATATTACCGTCATCTAAGGCTTTTAACAGTTCAACTGGAACTTGGCCAGGACCCGGTGCTTTTCCTTGTTTTGCATTCTGTAGGGCATGCTTTACTTCAGACGGTAAAATAAGTAAGTATTTTCTTCTCTCTCTTCAGTAAGTATTTCTCCATTTTTATCTCTTGTTATGAGTGTTCTTCTTTGTCTGCTGTTGCCTGTACGTTCTTTCATTTTTTTATGTAAGTTTGAGGTGTCATGTTTGTTGCTGAGTTCTTCCAGTTCCTGGCATTCTTTGTTCATCCATTCCTCCTTAGCCTTTCTGATTTCATATTTGATCGTATTCTTGATGGTTTTATATTTATTTCCATTTTTATTTTTGTATTTTCTTTTTTCAGTTATTAGCTCAACTATTTCCGGTGTCATCCAGTCTTTTTAGTGGTTTTCTTTTCTTCGCTTAGGACCTCTTTTCCTGCTTTTAGTATGGCTTTTTTCATATCTGACCATTCCACGCTTCCTTCAGTTAATTTATTTATCCCTGCGTTTATTTGCTGTTGGCAGTTATCGTCTTTTAGGTTTTTGATTTTTATTTTGGTGGTTTTAACTTTTTTCCCTGGTTTTCTGAGCTTAATCTTCACGTTTGGTAGTAATAGATTATGGTCCGTATCTGCATCTGCGCTTGAATAGGTTTTTGCACTTTGTACTCCATTACGAAACCTTTTGTTAATCGTTATAAAATCTATTTGGTTTCTGATTATATTGTTGATGTCATCTTTTGGAAAAGTCCACGTGTATAATCTTCGTGAGAGTAGGTCGTAGTATGTACTTGTACTAATTCTTTCTCCTGACACTACTGGACTAGTCTATCACCTCTTTCGTTTCTTTTGCCTAACCCAAAATTTCCTACAATATTTCCAATTTTTCATCGACCGACTTCAGCATTAAAGTCGCCCATAATTATTTTTACCTCCTGCTTCTTTATGTTTTTTGTTAACAGCTCCGCGTAGTCCGCTATCAGATGTTGGAGCATACACTTGGATTAGATTTATATTTAGAGGTTTGGCTTTCAGCTGAAGTAACATCATACGTTCGTTAAAGGGAATGCAATTTGTCACAAACTCTTTTAAATTATTGTTGATAATAATAACAACACCATGGCTGTGTTCTCCAGTGCTTTTGCCTGAGTAGAAAATAGTATTATTATCCTTGGTGTAGTTTCCAGAATTTGGCCATCGAACTTCTGAAAGGCCCAATACTTGTATGTCTAATATCTCCATTTCTAGCATGACTGTTGTTAATTTTCCTCCTTCATAAAGTGTTCTTATATTCCACGTTGCTAGATAAGTAGTAAAGAAACCTTATCACCGACGTCTTTTAGGGGGCATAAGCTGTCACCAAATGAAAGAAGAAGAAAATATCCTATAAAAAACATGGATCCAATGTGGGTGTAGACTAACGCATAATTGATGTGACGCGACATAAACTATTGAAATTGGAAACATTTTTCCTATTAACACATATTACGGCTTAAACGTTATATTATCTTAATCATCAATATTGGGACAGTATCTTCAAATGTAATTCCAAGTAAACTATGGATATCTGATTTTGTAACGAGTTATTTGAATGGACCTGTTAAAACTAAAAGTTTTTCACGAATTGTAGTAGTGGTATGTTTTAACTAATAGAAAAATACTTACCTTATTGGGCTCATCTGATGAATGCTGGTTATCTTTATGGCATTTTAAGCTGTCACTTCGTTTAAATGCCTTATCACACATATCACATTTATATCTCAATCCTTCATGAATCTTTCGATGTTTCAAATAAAGATTCCAGTTCTTAACTACCTTGTTGCACGTAGGACAAGTATACGATTCTTCCGGATTTGACTCATGAGTTTTCATATGAGTAAAAAGGTTGTTCTTAAAATTAAATGCCTTCGAACATACAGTACAAATATGTTGTTTGGGAGGAGACTTTTTAGGACAATTGTGAACTGTCCGTTCTTCTTCGGATGAAAAAATAGTTTTACAACGTTTGCAATTGATACTATGGCTAGCTTTGATATGATATTTAAGAAATTTTTCTTGTGAGAAGAGCTTCTCGCATAAAGGACATTGTAACTTGTAGAAAGTTGTACACCTATGGTGGGTCAGATTTTCTTTGCGAGCGAAAACCTACAATAAACCAAAGAATATAATTTCCATAATCAACACAAAAATATATTTATTTTTATTTATTTAGCGTATGCCTTACATCAAATAATGTATAACTCAATTTACATTTAAACATTATACAAAGATATATAAGTAAACATTATACATTTGTCATTATTTGCCAAACCTAGGCACATAATGAGAAACGACAAATATAACCTGCCACGAATAATAATTGAACAGAAAATAGAGGGCCGAAGAGGAGTAGGCAGAAGAGCTATGTCATGGCTTCGCAATATCATGCGGATCACGGGCATGAATGTTCAACAATTACTAAGAGTGGCGCAGAATAGAGAACATTTTGATGTAGTGATCGCAAATCTCCAGTAATGGAGTGCACTAGAAGAAGTGCATGCTCTGCGTGATCGTCTTGTGCTATGTGTTTGATCGTCTGTCTCGCAGCGCCACAATCACAGCTCTTCTGGATAATCTCTTTTTGTCTTATGTCCATTTTATTTCAACGAGTTGGAACGAAATGCATGTGCCACGCATCCAGACTTGCACTTCCAGAGACGAATGACGGAAATAAATATATCCCGGTAGCCATGGATTATTTTATGAAATGGACTGAGGCCCATGCGATACCAAATCAAGAAGCTGCTACCTTTGCAGAGGTACTGGTTAAAGAATTATTTAGCCGATTTGGTGTTTCCTTAGAGATGCACTCCGACCAAGGGTAAAACTTCACGTCAAACCTTTTCCAAAACGTTTGTAAATTCATTGGTGTCACTAAGACCAGAACGACACTTCTGCATCCTCAATCAGATGGAATTGTCGAGAGGATGAACTGAACGATAAGTCCACCGATGAACACCTGTCCAAAGTTGTATCAGAATATCAAAGAGATTGGGACCAGCACATTCATTTATTCCTAATGGCCTACCGCTCGGCCGTGAATGAAACTATAGGCCAGACTCCAACCTGCCTGATGTTAGGTCGTGAAGTTCGTTTGCCCTGCGACTTAGAGTTTGGCTGCAGACCTTCCGAAGAACATGTTGCAAGCAAAGATTATGTCGACCGCCTAAAGTTAAGAATGAACAACATTCATGAACTTGCCCGACAACACATCCAGTTAGCCAGTGACAGAATGAAAGATCAATATGATTTTTGATGTAAGAATGAAAGCTATAAAGCAGGTAATCTTGTTTGGCTTTATAATCCACAACGTCGTCGAGGTGTCTCCTAAATTGCAAAGACAACGGGAATGTTCGTATGAAATTAAAAAGAGAATAAATGACGTAATATACCGAATTAAGAAGTTGCCGAAAGTAAACCAAAAGTAATTGACATAAATCGTCTTGCACCTTATGCTGGCTCAAATGAAACAGGAAGCACGAACCCTTTAACATGAGATCCAAGACGACCGGCGACCAAGCTTTAATGAATTTATATCAAATTACGCAGAGAGAAAGAGTGCTAGATTCGGCGTGACGACAGAAGTTCAGCATGATATTTTTAGTGTTCCGCATAATCTCTCTCTCCCACTGTGTTGCCCAAGATCTTGAGATGACCAAAGGAATCTCATCCGTATTTTATAAGAAGTTCGGTAGAGTGGACGAGTTAAAAAACCAGCAGCCTAAAGTGGGAAGAGTACTGAGATTAGAAGATGGTTCTCGCTCTTTGCTGTATATGGTGACCAGGAATTCGTATACAGACAGGGCAAACGAGGATATATGGCGCGTTCTAACTAATTTGAAGAAAATTGTGTACAATTACGACATCAAAAATGTGGCCTTACCCAAGATAGACCATGCACTAGATAATCTGTACTGGAAGATTGTCAGACGCATGGTTGAAGTGGTTTTCCGAGAAACCGACGTAAGAAATACTGAATGTTGCAATAATCCGAAGAGATCGTGTCCTTCAAAGACAGTAGACTGTTATTTCTTTCTAAGGGGTTTATGCAGAGCTGGAGAGTCTTGTAGATTCCGTCATCCTGGGCCTACATATAGAGTTGCTGATCGGGACGCTCAGATCTAAGAGTATCGAGATGTATCGAGTGCGTGAGAGATCAACCCGTCAAATAGGCGAATTAGACGTGGGCTACTCCATAATGTTCTAGAACATAGGGACTTTTGTATAAAGTAATAGTAAGTAATACGTAATAGTTAAAGTTTAGTTGTTAAGATATTACCGAACTGTAAACTTATAAATAAATATATGTTTATAAATTTGAACCGCTCGTTTTATTTAATCTCGCTACAATACCTAAAAGGCATAGGTTAACCCATAAAATCAAGTAATAAATAATTTAAAAAGTAGTAAATTTGACTAATATCAACAAAGATAATTTTAGCAACATTGGAATGAGTGATATTATAGTCCAAAATAATTCAGGGCTATAATCTCATCTCAAGTTGAGATGTTATCAAAGTAATTTCAATCATGACGTATGGCTGCAATGACGACTATTTTATTCTAAACTACTAACCTTATTACATTGAAAGCAAACGAATGTCCCCGCATGAACATTCATGTGAAGAATCAACGCCTTTGAGTTTTTAAAAGTTTTGAGGCAAATATCACAGATAGGTTGTTCGTTTTCGTTAGGGGAAATCTCAAAGTTAAAGTTATCCAATTCCTTGACGTTTTCCGGAAGTATCATTTCCACATTTAAGTTCATATTCTCACTCTCGAAAAGACCATTTTGGTTTTGTATCCCACTTAGATCAAGTTGGTTCGAGTCGAGTATTAGAGTTGTGTTATCTATATCAATATTGTCGCTGGGTAAACCAGTGAGTAGAAAAGGATCGCCAAAACATGCATCTTTGGGTTGTAACTCGGGAAGACTTGGGATGGATTTTTGTGTAATTGATGGTTGTTTTAATAGTTCATTGTTTTCTTTATGTCTTAAATGAGCAGCTTTATTAGTATTTTTTGATACCTGCAAACAAAAAATTTATATGATCTTAGTGGAATATACACAATACAATGTATTATATTTTGGAATTCTTTTAAATAAAACACTTTACATAAAAGTAATTTAGTAACCGATGATCAACAAAACGTCAATTTATTCGCGGACAATTTCTATCGACGATTCAACTCAAAGAAACAAATCCTCCTTAGTACATTATCCTTCCCAATCTCTCAGATTTGACTCTACTGTCTTAAACACTCTGTTTACACTACAGGAACTCTTAAATATTCTTCCAACTTGCAAAAATTCAGCTGCAGGTTCCGATAACATCACCTTCATATTCCTCAAAAACCTTCCCATATCTGCCGTAAAAAATTGCTTATACATGCTTGTATAACATAGTATTCTATATTGCTTGTACAACATAGTATGCACCAATCAGAAATTTACAATTTCATGGAGTGAATCTATCGTTATACCAATCAAGAAACAGGAAAAATTCCCGAACAATCCAATTTCCAATAACGCGGTTCCTTCTCCATTACTGAAGGTTGGCTATAACTACAGCAAATTACTCTCTATCTTGAGCTGTTCTTAGTATCGAATGTGTGTCCATGCCTGTCCAGTCTCTTATTTCAACCAGGAGCATTTTCTTCTTCATGGACCTCTTCTTCCTTCCACTTTCCCTTCTATTATAAGTCGTAGGAAGTTGTATTTTTCTCCTCTGTAAATATGTCCTACATAACTCGTTTTTCTGTTTTTTACAATATTTAGTTCTCTCTCAGTACCCATTCTTCTTAGCACCTCATTGTTAATCAAGTGCTATGACCAAGAGATCTTCAGCATCCTTCGAAAAACCCACATCTCAAAGGCTTCTATACGCCTCATACTTGTAATTCTAAGAGTCCATGTTTCCACTCATACATTATCTTTTATCGAACAGTTTATTTCTAATCGCCGCTTCAAAGTATTAGATAACGGAAGAGCTTCCTCAACCTACCTTCAGGAAAATCAGGTACCACAAGGATTAGTTATAAGTTCCATTTTATTTATAATAACTATTAATGATATTTGCAAGAATATTCACAACCCAGTGAACTACAACTTATATGCTGATGACCTAATTTTATATCGCCGCGGTAAAGATACGTTCCCAACTACAAACTTAAAGCAGTAAATGAACTAACTTCTTGGTCTATAAGCTTGAATAATTTCTTTGCTAAAAAATAAACAGTACTCAAATTCAGTAGAAGAACAAGTAGCATATTATTAACTCAAATTACATTTAATGTTAATACGCTCACACAACAAAACAGAACCAAAAAACTACTCTATACAAGGTTTTACAAATGTTATCCTCAGCCAATTAGAACTTGTTCAGAATGTACTAGATTTCATTCAAGAAACGAACTTGTATTACAAAATTGAGTGTATCTTTTAAACTTTTACTTTTTAAACTTCAACAAAATTAACTAACTAAATAATAACTAAATATTTAACTACCATTAGTGTAGACACCACTTGACTGAGAGGTATAAGAACAGCGGAATGAGTAAAATCACATAAATAACATACATTGGTTATGTTTCAACTAATCATAACCAAGCAACTAAATTAACTCAAATATACTCTTTTTAGTTTTTCAATAAGCCATAGATATTTACATCGGCATCCAAATGAAAAGACCTTCAATTTATTCCACCCATACTATAGTCACCCTAATGATATGGTCAAGAAGTTCAAAGATGAAAATCTATAAATCCATCGTCAGACCTATAATAACATACTGATACGAAACGTGGTCCATGACCAAAGCAAACGAAGAAAAACTCAGATGCTTTGAACGAAAACTACTTGAAAACATTTTCGGACCTCACCATGACATCACCACAAACCAGTATAAGATCAGAACCAATATCGAATTAAAAGCATTCTACAATGACGCCAATATTGTCCAAGAAATTACATCACAGCGACTAAGATGGGCAGTCAACGTGCACAGACAGATTCCCACAGGCAAAAGACCACTCGGAATCGGACCACTAGTCCCAGAATTCGATGGAGAGATAACATCCAAGCAGATCTCCAGAAAATAAACATTCCATTTGACCCTAGGTTGATGGAAGACCGAACAAATTAAAAAAAACTGCAGGTGACGATTTGTTTTTAGTTGTTACCACCCATGGAGAAACGATGATAACTATTAGACACGTGTCAACCACGAGACTATTTCTATTGTACCGTTTTACTTCTAACCTATTATAAACAAAAGTCTATTATAGAGTAAGTAAATACAATTTAGTGTTACAGAATTAATTTTCTTAAGAAGTTCAAGAAGTATGTTGTTCCATATTCAGCCACGTATATTACAATATAATTGTTAGTGTTTCTATATGAAATTAAATAAACATTAAATATTTGAAATAATGAAAAAATTGAGGATCTTTTGGAGATAGGGTATTTAATGCATTAACTGTAAACTATGGACGTATAAACACATATGGACTCAGTTATTTACATAAAATTGTGAAGTCAAAATTATTTGAATAGGTCACATTCTGAGCACCTTCAACTGTTGTCACGTTTTGTTTTAAAATTTCTTATTCGGGAGTCGCTGAAAATATTACTCCGTATTTTATACTCTACAGGTGCTATCAAACCAAAATAATAATTTATTGGTTATATTAATATATTTAATTGTAATCAAAATATCAAGTGTGCACATAGTGTGCATTATCATTTAATAATAGCGTATAATAGATATCAATCAATTATTTTATATGTAGAAGCATTGAAAACTATTTATAAATGGCAACGGTTGTTTACATTTCTCTGTCTTATGGATCTACGTCAAACTTCAAATGCTGTTCCATGTTTGTTTACTTTTTACAGTAAGTGGGGAAAAAGTTATTTTTCGATATTTTGGCTGTATTTTAAGTGATATTTATGAAAAGTGAAATAAAATAAACCCGCGAGTAAAAATATTTACATCCCGATCTCTCATTTCATTTGTAAGTACATACAATTTACATTATTTAAGATGAGGAAATGAGGAAGCGTGTTTGTTTACATTTCAATAGGCGTACCATTGGGTTTATTCATGTTTATTAATGTATTGAATAAGATATGAGTTCATGAAATTAGTAGACATTTATAAATTGTAAGTAGACATCATCTGATTAAAAAAGATCTGTTTGGTACCTTTTTAATTTCATATTTCTCATGGATACAAATAAATTAGTGAAATGAATAAAACTCATTTATTTTTCTATGTAGGTTTCCAAATAATATTGACGATATAACTATTTGGGTAGCAAATTAAGGAGAAAACATAAAGATTTTTTATTGTAGCATTATTTTGATATTATTAAAAAATTAACTTGATTTCAACTATATTTAATTGTATTAATTTTAAAGCAAATAAAATTGTATTCTAATTTTTCTATAAAGACGTGATTTGTTATTAGTTAAACTGAGTTTTTTTTTTAAATTCTTTGAACGTGTTTTTATACATTATTACTACTTCCAATTTTTAAAATCTGAATAATTACCCGCGAGTAAAAATTCAAGCACGCTTATACTCATCGCGGAAGCATCACATTCTATCGAAGCTTCAAAACATTGTGTGTTAAAGGTATATTATTGCTGTGTCCATCTATGTTGATACGTCCATGCTGTAAACTATATATAAATGACGTATAATATACGATCATATATGTCATAAATCATTAGTTTATTAACAAGAAATATTTATTAAATAAGTATTTAGGATCGAATCCTAATATGCGATATAGCAAATGAGAGGGGAAGGAAATATCGAATATATTAAGATGTAAAAAATCAATCAGTTTTTAGTTGTTACCACTCGTATAGAAAGGATGACGACTATTAGACCGAAGTTTGTTTACTACTAAGTGGCAAACAGTTTACTATAGCTTATTTGTAGTGTACTGCTTTGTGCGTCTTAGAACGTTTTATTTTGCATTTTTCATATTCATTTATAACATCAAAATAAATTTGCATGGAACATTTTTGGTGACAAAACAAAAGCATTTTAGTAGAACATCATACGTTCTAGAATTCTGCGTTTCTAGATTCATAATCTAAGCACTTTGGAGTCTGTTTATAGTTAGTAGCTACTCCTTATAGGTGAAGTATAAATTGTCTAACGACACTCACGGAAGTTTGAATTATGTCATTACTTCCCTTCCATGTTGATGACCGTCAAGATAAGATGTGGAGACCAACCCGGACGAGCTGCTTGTTTTTTTTTGCGCAGATGAGTATATGACCCGTAAAAAATGGGAACATCCATATTACAGTGCAGTTCTAGTTATATAAAAGTACATACTAATGTCTCATTTCGAGAAACAGAAAGCAGCTTAACAGAAATAAAATAAGATTATTTAAGTTAAATATTTTAGTCAGTATGGAGCCCTATGTAAATTCAATTTAATTTTAAAACTTAATAATAATCTTTGGAGATACAATCGCAGAAAGTTTTCGATCTGGTAAACCAAAAATATATACCTGATTTCATTTATAACTTTTATTACATACGTATTCAGTGCCTCTTTTTTTTTGTATAGGGTATGTCTCTTAATTTTTTTTGTATTCCCTAGTAATCTTTGTTTTTTGTCTAAAACCTAAAAGTTTGTATATCCAGTAACACCTTTTTGTTCAGCTAATTTGTAGGTATTTTCTTATTAGATAATAAAATATCATACCTATAATATCATGATAATTGAGGTAATGTTAAAATATTCTTGTTAATTTCTGCTATTTAAATTCACGCTTCAGCTTTACCCAGATATAAAGGTATTCCCTTTAATTTTAGGAATATTTGTTTAGAACATGATTTGTCTAAATTTTAATTTTTGATTTTTGTTATTTGCCTTATTTGATTTTTGTGTTCCTACTTTACTAACGTATAATAACTTACCTGGATCAACTGTTAAAGAAATAAAAATTGTTAATTTGTAGCAATTATTTGTTTATTACTCTCTCATAATCTTCATTTCTTCTGGTAACTAAAAAGAAGCTAAATCTGACAGGAATGTAGAGCGAAAATATAAGTGTGTTTGCTTTTCTCTCTTTCTGACTAGGTATACATTTCTCTCTCATTCTTCTCTCATAGGTCAAGTGTTGAGTTTACCTCGTCCCTCGACAAATGACTAGGTATCGCCCTTTATTTTTCCATTTTCTTTTAGTGTCAAATTCTGTCATTTTCACTAATACGTTCCAATTCCCAATTTTTTTTCTAAATTTTTTTTCTAAATATAACCTCATTCCAGATCTATAGACCCACGTCCTAAAGCTTACAGTTGTTTCCTTCAAAACACCTAAGCACCGGTTTGCAAGGTAAACATACTTGCACATGGAATTCTCTTTTCTCTCTTAAACCCCCAACATTCCTCAGGGAAAGTATCGTTACACCAATAATAGCGCGTTTATCAAATAATGGTCACATAATGCAGAAGTGTTAAGAAGGCTACAAAAGGATTGCGAGGTCATAAATCACATCAAAACAAGAAAACTGGAATATTTAGGCCACATTACCAGAGGTGCGAAATATGAGATATTAAGGCTCATAATGCAAGGTAAAATCAGAGGTAAAAGATCCATAGGAACGCGAAAAGATCCATAGGCTGAGAAACCTAAGAGAGTGATATAGTTGCAGCTCAGTAGATATTTTTAGAGCAGCCGCCAATAAGGTACGGATAGCTGTGATGATAGCCAACCTCCGACAGGAGAAGGAACTACAAGAAGAAGCTCACATAATGATTATAATAACCATGATATGTTTATTAATGCCATACTATATGGTCAAGATCTTACCTTATCATAAGCCATTGATTCAGGCCCCTTCCAATGGATATTCATATGAGTAATGAGCTCTTTAAAACTATTGAAGTCACTTAAACATATATCACAGATAAGTTGTTCATTTCCATTTGATGCTAACTCGAAATTAAAATTATCTAATACTTTGACATTATCACAAGAGGTAGATTCTACATTTAAGCTTAAAACTTCAACACCTAAATTATTATTCTTTTGACCCTCCTTTCGACTCTGGTCTATACCATTGCTATCCGACTTGGTGAATATAAGCATTGTATTGTCCATACTATCCCCATGAAGTGAGCTAAACATTAGAGGTCCACCAATGGAAATGCTTTTTGATTGTGAATCAGGAATATTTTCTTCAGGTGGTTGTAACACTGCTGATTGCTGTTCTGTAGGTAATGATACTGTGTCATTCTTGTGAACCTGTTTCATATGTTTTTGGTACGCCTAAAAAATCACAAAGTCATGAATATTTGATGAAAAGGTCTACTCACAATCCGTTATAGGTTTTTATTTCAGTTGCTAAAAGAGAATTGACTGCCGGTTTCGCTATGTATAAACTTTTACAGCATCTTAGGCCCCTAAGAAACTAAGAAACAATTATACTTTGTATTTTCTTTTATGCATTTATCTGACATTATTTTATTTTATTAAAAATGACTCATACAGTTACCATCAAAGTGAAGGTGGTCTATTGATTCTTAATATCTAGTATAAATTTAAAGCACACATACATATTTCTATTCTATTTTATTCTATCTACTTGTTATAATTGACTGACTATTTATTAAGTCCTCTGTACTATTCAAATCATAATTTTTTGTTTGTTTTGTCATATACATATTTGTTTATACATATAACGACATTGTTTTGTTGACCATAGGAATTAAAATTTATTGCAATCACATCTCTAGGGTATATTTATTATAATGCTCTAAAACTAATTTTTTGCTTATTTTTTAGCCTTAATAGCAATACAAATAAATCAGTAAGTAAATAAGTAATATGCTTTATTGTCACTGAAAATTGTACAAATTTTATGGACAAAGCTTATAACAATAAGACAAGAAGGAAGAAAAAAATCAGAATAAGAATCTTTTGTATTTTTAAATAAAAAAAAACAATAAAATTCTTCCAAACAAACATAAAAAATACTACCTAATAAAGAACCTACAAACTTCGTAAAATGTTCCTAAGAAAAAATAAAAATATAGAAAGCAGATTAATTAATTAACCTCTCCAGGGACGAATTAATTCTTTGAATAATAAAAAGTCCAATATTTTTCTATATTTTAATTATTAACATCCGGATACATGAAAAATTGCAAAAAAAAATATTGTCAAATTTGACATTGTAAAAGTCAAAAACGAAAACGTACATATATGTTGCCAATGGGCGGATGATCTATTGATGAAACGATTCCATGCAATCTGGGCAGACACTCCCCTGACACTGCTTGCATCTATATCTTGTTCTGCGTTTGCAATTTCTGTCATGACATCTTGGTGGATTTTTGTAGTCCATTTTCATTGAATAATGTCCCAATCCATTCAAGCAAACTTCAGGTGCAACTTTTGTCCACGTCTTTTTCTTTTTTGGAGCAGAATTTTCGGATGAGGGTCTTCCTCGTTTTCTTGCATTTCCATTTAACTCAATTGAAGTTGAAGCAATAGATGCTTTAAATTCTAGTAAAGATATTTTTGATGATTTGGCTTCTCTGAACAACAGCCAAGCATTTATAATTGCAACATTCATGAAATGAAAAACAATTCTCAGATAGAACTTCTTGTTTTTGATGGTATGTGGATAATGAGCAATCATTCTATCTGATAAATCTACGCCACCCATGAACCGATTGTACTGAATAATAGCCTGTGGCCTTTGAACCTCAATGTGTCTTTGTTTTCCTATCCCATCTTCTTACAGTATCTTGAGGATCCTTACCAGCGAAAGATGAAATCATATGAACAAGGTTATTGTCTGCCCATCGTAGCACTGTAATGTTGTTTTCAGATGTTGTCACGGAACATGAACCTCTACCTTTTTTCTTAAGAATCTTACCATCCGTCAGTTTTTCGCTAGCTTTGTGTATTCTGTTAGCCCTGACAGTTCCTACTACATGTATATCTGCATCTTTTAGGTAGATGACTAATAATATAGAAGTGAATAGATTATCCAAAAATATTTTGTGATTGAGACCTTCTAATCCTGAACACAGCCTCACAACTGTATCACCAATGATACCCAATTCTGATTTATTTTGATTTTTTGAGGACTGGTACATCTCAAATTTTGATACATAGCCATTTGCTGACGCTCGTACCCATACTTTAAATCCCCATTTCTTGGGCTTAGATTTAATACACTGCTTATTTCTACTTCTTCCTTTGAATGGAATTATTATTTCATCAATAGCTATATACTCAGTTGGTGTTGTAGCATCAGCAAACGTTCTACTCAGTAAATCAAGAAAAGGTCGTACTTTTATAAATGCGTCATCATTATTCTCAGAATTTTCATGGTTATTGTTGAAGTGTAAATATCTTTTTATTTCTTCATATCTTTTTAGGGACATAGTGTTAGCAATTTGATAAAAACTCAGACCTGGAACGGATGACCAATACATCCGATAGGCAGGGTATTTTATGTATGTCATCATGATGTTGATAGCAAAAAATTGTTTCATTTCAGCAATGCTAACCGAAAATGAATGTTTTCCACATTGAAGAGCATAACGAATTGTTTCTGTAGTAATTAGCTCGAAAATTTCATCAGGAAATAGTTTCACAAAGAAAGAATATGGCGTATCGCCATTTATATTGACTTGATAGTTACCTCGAAAAATTGGTGGATTGTTTATAAAGGCATTATCCTTTTCTGAATACCAGATTTCGGAACTCTGTATTGGTACACGAGGCTCAGATGACAATGCTGAACCTGTTGCCCTCTTCTTACTGTATTTTTGTTGTCTGCATCTCAAAGCCAGAGGAATGTCATCATAGTCACTATCAGTATCAGAGCTACCATTTGATTCGGAAAGTTCTTCCATGGTATCTCTGTTATTTGGCAATTCCAATAAGGAATCCAATTCTTCTTCTGATTGGTCATCATTCTCAATTTCAATTTCCTCCAAATCTGAATTGTTTCGATTTTGCACAGAACTTAGAATGGTTACTTTCTCTGTTTTTCTGCTATGAAATGATGATGTAGGTATCTCTCTAAACATGCTGCCTTATTCTAAAATGAAAATAAAAACAAAATTATTTTGACATTTCTGCACCACGTACACAAATGTGTACGGTTATTTTCACGTAATTTGCTCAAGACACCAAAATAATATATTTAATTTTATTGTACGATCTTGTATATTAGATATTTATTCTGTACTCACCAATTTTTGTTGCACAAAATTATGTCAAATTGAAAAAATACAGTGCCTGGACTTTTTCTCTTAAACCTCAAAACACCGTCAAGGAGACACGTGAATATAAAAATACGACGAGGTACAAAAGTCAAGCGATTTTGATCTCTATTTCGCTGTAACTTGAGAGGGGGATTGTAGACGTCCACAACGGTTGCCGCTACGTAAATGAGAACCAAGTTTAAAGTATTGTTACAATATTTTAAACGAAACGTACACAAAAGTCAATAGTTGCTCTAGAATTGTGAGCCAAACGCCCATCCTGTTGGATATAAACCTCCTGAAAATTAACGGGAAAGCGTCGAACTGCCGAATGATCTCATTGAGTCAAAGTTTTAAATATTTGGGCCCGTTTATGTTTTCATCGATAAAAAATGGACGGACAATATGGTCGCCTAACATCCCAGTCCAAACATTTAACTTTTGCGGATGCTGCATTCTCACTGCAACACTGAGGTGCTTATTTTTTCGAGAATAATACGTTGCAACGGATGGATTGTGTTTTTTATGTAATGAAAATGAAGATTCGTCAGAAAATAAAATATTTTTTAAAAAGTGTACATTTTCATTCTGTTTATCTAACATAAATTCACAAAACTTTATCCGCCTAAATTTATCTTCCGGAAACAGTTCTTGTGTTGGTTGTATCTTAAAACAGTGATACCCATTCCTTTTGAGAACTCGCTGGACAGTTCGAGCATTCACGTTAACTTCCCTAGCAATTTGTACACTATTGCAGGGTTCACTAGCTTCCACAAAAGCACAAATATCACTATCCCTGTTTTGACGCTCCTCATCGACAGGACTAACACGTGGTTCATTAAGTTCATGACACTTTTTACAACTGTTTACACACCCCGAAGTTTGAAAATGTAAAATGGTATTTTTAACTATTGTAACACTTGGTGGGGGTCTATTTTCGGAGGCAACAATAAATAAAATAATAACTTCGCGTATCCAATGACTCTGAAAGTACCATGTTACAAGTTGCACTTTTTCTTGGACGGTATAGAAGGTAATAGGCATTTTATTAATTATTTGTTTATTCTTTCAGAACTTCGTTTGAAATTTTTAATGTCAATGTGACAATTACGATAATGCGTACCTACTGTGGAATGAATATACAGGTGGAAACGTGTCACAGCGATTGCCATTGTGTTGTATGATCAATACAATAATATCGTGATCTGTATACACCAAGTATTTTAGCCTTAGTTTATTGAGGGCCGAAGATGCTGTAAAAGTTTGTAAACAGCGAAACCGGTAGCTCATAAAAACCTATAATATATTGTGAGTTGAAGACATATTTCCCTAACGTTCATGAACATTTATTTAAATACAAGAAATTTCAGAGTTTATGGTTCGTATACAGGGTGTTTCAAAAAGTATGTCATAAATTAAACCACGCATTCCGGGGACAAAAATAAGTTGATTGAATCCAACTTATCTTGGTACAAAAGTGTACAAAAAAAAGTTACAGCCCTTTGAAGTTACAATATAAAAATTGTTTTTTTTTGCATTATCTCCTAAACTATTTGACATTTTGTAATAAAAATGGACACGTTTCTTTCTTGTTCTGAAAGCATTTTTCATAAAAAAGACACAACAAAATATAAGTGCACAGAAGGGGGCAGCCGTAAATCCTCCTAAACTTTAAGTACGTTCAAATCAAATGAATTTTGTGGCATCATTAGTTTAACACATTATTTAAAAAAAATCCTCTTTTTTCAAAAAAAAAAGTATTTATTGAGTTACGGCCCTTTTCATTAATCTTTACAATAAATGTTCAAAATGTCCTCCATTTTCTTCAATACACATTCGGTATCGTTTTAATAAGGAAAACTGAATGCGCTGAAAAATCATATTTTTCTGACGAAATTGATTTGCAGCTTCAATTATTCTAACAATCCTAGAGTATATTTGAAGAATAGGTTGGAGTAAATTCCCAGAATACTAATCATCGCACCTCGAAATACATAGGCGTGCACATCTTCTAACTAAAACGTAATCTTAAAAGAATTTATT